GGCCCCGCACGCCCGCGCTACAGCCGCGCTCTGCCTGCCTTGCAGTGCCCGTGTCCAAGCCCTCGGTGCGGCTGAGCGAGCCCACCCCGGTGGAGAGCAGCGCCGCGTGGGCGCAGTGTGGGCTGGAGAACGGCACGGGCCCGGTCCAGTTCGAGTGGGAGCGGGAGGGCCGCGGCGGCGTGAGGGCCGGGGTCCCCGAGGCCGACGGCAGCCTGGTCAACCTCACCAGGGTCAGCCGCAACCACACGGGCTGGTACAGCTGCCTGGCGCGCAACGAGGTCAACGAGCAGCGCAGCGACCGCGCCTGGCTGGACGTCATCTGTGAGTACAGAGGAGCCACTGCCACTCACAGCCTTCTAGACTCTCAGACCTCTGACCTTCCGACCTTCTGAGCCCTGATTATCACGACGAGTTCCCTTCCCTGACGAACACCCTCCCGGTCCGGGCCCGCTCCGGAGGCTCACGGCTCTCTCCCCTGTCCCAGACGGGCCGGACGAGCCCATGATCAACATCACGCCCTACGCGGTGACGGAGCGCGGCTTCTCGGCGGTGGAGCTGGAGACGGTGTCCCTCCTGTGCCAGGCGCCCTCCAACCCGCCCAGCCAGTACGTCTGGTTCTACAACAACTCGCAGGTGTCCGCCGGCCAGCAGTTCACCATCAGCAGGATCCTGCGCATGCACACGGGCTACTACACCTGCCTGGCCCAGAACTCCTACCTCAACACCCGCACCAAGGCCACCGTCACGCTCACCGTCTACTGTGAGTCCGGACACGGGCCAGCGCAGCTCGGCGTGCCCTTCCTCGCACTCTCACCACCTCGTTTTCCGCTCTGTCGCGGCTCATGGGATCCATTCCCAAATCCCTTCGGCCTTGTTTCTCCAGTTTCCCTTGAGTTTCCCCTCTCCTCCACCCTTCACGCCTGCTTCTCTTTCCATTTCCAATCCCCGAGCACGTACAGCTCCTCCCCTCACACACACTCTCTCCCACTCTTTCACACTCGCACACAGTTGTGCACACTCACTGTCTCACAATCTCACACACTCTCTTGCTCTCTGTCACAGACTGACACACACTCACGCACCCCCCCACTCACACACACTCACACACACTCACACACACAGCCGTTGCTGAGGCCCCTGACTGCTGTCGCCTGAACTGGGACGAGCAGGAATTCAGCTTCACGTCTCAGAATGCTCGTTCTCTGGGAAGAAGCTGCGGAGCAGTGCGTCCACTCCCAGAAGCACAGGTACATCGCCGCTATGACTGCCACTCCATCTTTCCCTTCCAGAATTCCCCTTTCTCTTCACAATTCCCATCTTTCCCATCTTTATTCCTTAGTATTTCATTTTCTTATTCCTTCATGTTTTGTGCTGTTTTTTCATGATTATCAAACATCTGGTTCTGAATCTACACTGCGGGACCCATGATCTGTGGGTGTGAAAGAGTGACACTTTAGAAAGTGGAAATCATTTGTTTCTATATTTAAAAGTCTCACAACATCGCAGATCGCAAAATTGGGTTTTAAAAACACACCATCTAAGAATAATTTCATAAAATACAGCAACTGGAGAAACAGAACAAACAGAAAATATCCAGGAGGGGATTTAATAAACATCAGAAATACCAGTTAGAAAAGAAAGATGAAGTTTAAGATACTGGCACCAGGGGCCACAGACCAGGAAAGCTGAGTTACTCTGTTCCAGCTCGTGATCACACCTGGAGTGATTTAGGAATTTAGGACAGATTTAGCACACGATGTCCTGTCCTCCACCTCGTCCGCTGGCCTGTCTCCTTCCCTCGCTCTTCCCTGCCCCCTGTCTCCCCTCAGACCTCCCCGACAGCAGCCCCACCTGCGCCGTCCTGCCCGCCAGCAACTACACCGGCCTCCTGCTCTGGTGCTCCTGGGAGGGGGGCTCCCCGGCCGCTGAGCTGCGCTGGACCCCCTCTGCGCCCGGGGGCACCGGCGGTGAGGCAGAGCCCACCCTCTCCAACGCCACCCAGATCCGCGCGGGTGCCCAGACCCCCGACAACTCCACCTTCTCCTGCCGCGCAACGCACCCCGCGCTGAGAGCCGCGGCCCAGTGCAACGTCACCGTGGGTGAGTGGGCCCCCACTGGGAGCAGGGCCACAGGCTCATCGGGCAGGAGTGTTTCCTTTAACACTCACTCTCGGATAAAACCTGCCACGCTTACTCCTCTGAGCTCAACCCCCTGGACACTGAACACCCTGGCCAACACCCTCCACCCCCTGGACACTGAACACCCTGGCCAACACCCTCAACCCCCTGGACACTGAA